GTGTATTTTACTATAAAATTTTGAAGGTCTATCGATCATTAAAAAATCTGTACTAATTGATTTTAATATATGATCTACAATATGTTTGATTTATATAGCATATAAAATACCCCAGAAATCGATGGTTAAAAAAAATAATTTATGATTATAATTAATAAAGCCATATCTTAAAATAAGCAAAAATTAATTATATTATAAAATATATTATAAATGTTTTAAACTTCAAAAAATTCATTTTAATAAATATGTGGATTGAAAACCTTTTTATTTATTTAAAATTTTTATGGAAAGGACATATAGGGCTTTTGCGGGAAACTGCCGGAAAATAAAAAATGAATTAAATGCTAAATTTGAACATATTTCGGCCTGAAACCATATTTGGCATATAAAAGCAAAATTGATTTTTCCCGGCAGTTTCCCCTTTCTATTGCAAAAACCACATATGATTTGAAAAGCATTATAACTTCATTATTACAAGAAGGTTTGTTTATATTTTTTAAATATATCAAATAAAATTTGATATCAAATGAATAACAGAAATTATATATTATCAATTTAGAATAATATTTTCTTATCCGTTCTATAATTTATTCACGTGAATTAAATACGTCACTTGGCGTTCGTAAAAGTCATAACCAACGGTTTATTTTAGGTTAAGCTACCATAGCCAGGAACTTACGTAATCGTTTCAGAATTGAATGACAAATAACATTCAGGAGATTATCATGGCCTTCTATATAAAAGTTATTGTATATAAAAGTTATTGAATAATCAATGACTGAAATTTTGCAACATTAAATAACATAATAATTTCGTCAATATTATAAAATATTTGTGTATACTTAGTCAAATTTAGTTAAATCTTATCAAATTTCATCATCTATATTTAAAAAACATTTTATTTCATTAACTTGATTTGACAAAATCGTTTAGAAATCAATTACCTTTTTAATCCGTTCAAATTGATCAAATTAGTTATATTAAAGACCTTTTTTTTTAAAAAAAAAAAAATCAAAGATCATGTCTCGACAATTTTTTCCTAAATTAAGTCAGAATTATATTGAAATTTTAGATGATGATGAATATTGTGATGTAATGTTTGAAATCGGAGGCGAAGCCCAGATTAAAGAGTTTCGTGCACATGCTATTATTTTGAGTTATCGTTCTCCATATTTCAGACGAAAATTATCTGATAAGAAGAACCATGGAAATGGTGATGAATTGTTTCGTATGAAATTTCCAAATATTTCACCAGAACATTTTCAAATTATTATAAAGTAAGTAGTTATTCATTATAATTTCAAGCATCATTATTTAAAAAGAATATTTTCAAAACCGTTATCTTTATGAACATACATTTAACAGATATATTTATGGAGGTTCATTCATATTCAAAGATCATGATAACATTTCGGAAATTATTAAAATATTACTTGTGGCAGATGAGTTTCATTTACAAGAATTAGTGGATGATTTACAAAAATATTTGATTGAGGAAAAGTCCGAATGGATTGATCAAAATTTTGACTTGGTTCACAGAACAAGTTTAAAATCGTCTTGTTTTATGGAATTGCAACAATATTGCATAAATTTAATGTCATCATACCCGGATAAAGTATTGAAATCATTAGATTTTACCTCTCTCGACGAAAAATCATTAGTCCCTTTATTACAAAAAAGTGATTTACAATTGGAAGAGATTGATATTTGGTCATCCGTATTGAAATGGTCTTTCAAGAGAAATCCTAAGTTAAATCAAAATCCATCAAATTGGACGATTGAACAATTTAAATCAATGGAAAATACATTAAAGAATGTATTACCTCATATTAGATTCTTTAGTTTATCTTCCAAAGAATTTTTGGAAAAAGTTCATCCTTATAAAAAATTACTTAAACCGAACCTTTATGAAGATTTATTAAAATATTTCTTGGATCCTAATAGTGATCCTCCCAAGAATAATTATTTGGCTCCTAGATATTATGGAAAATTTAATACGAAAATAATTAATATTGATATGGTTTCTTTAATTTCAAAATGGATTGATAATGTTAAGCAAGAGAGAAGAGTTCCTGTTAGAGAGAAGTTATACTTGCCTTATGAATTCAACTTGATTTTACGAGGAAGTAGAGATGGATCTACTCCTAAAAAATTTCATTCGTCATGCGATAATAAAGAAAATACCGTCACTTTTATAAAAGTTAAAGGTACAAATGAAATTATTGGTGGGTATAATCCTATAAAATGGTCATCCCAAGGTGATTGGCTCGGCACCGATAAGAGTTTTATATTCTCCATTAGGAGCAAGGAATTTGGTTTAAAAGATGCAATCTATAGTAAAGTAAAGAATAAAGATCATGCAATTAAAGCAGGCGCATCAGATGGTCCAGGATTTGGTGATGATATCAAGTGTTTTGGTAATGCAGATAAAAATTTTGAAAATGTAATCTGTCAAAAACGTCGTCATTATGAAAAAGAGATAAGAAATACCGAAGATAAATTTTCTATGGAAGATTATGAAGTATTTCAGATTAAAAAGAAAAAATAATGTAGGTGTTTTAAGAAACAGAGAAAATATTTATCAGATTTAAATAAAAAAGTCATTTTTTATAAAAAATAAATCAATTTTTCTATATTGTATATTAATTGGCTTAATTGAAATAAATTTATAGACTTTGTTTAATTAATTTTATATTATGTTACACCGCAGTATCCATTTTTAACCACTAAAAAATTGTATAGTTATTAAAAATATTTACAATAATTATAATGAGAAATTTCTTATTTAGCGTTAGTAAATTTTCTGATTAATGAAGAATTTTTATAAAATATGATTATATATACCATTCCAAATCCTGTCAAAACAGGAATTATCCCGATGTATTATGTAATGAATAGTCTACAATTTTGATTTTATATCAAACAATGCATTAAATCGGTTTGGATTTGACAACCCAATTGCTTTAATTAAAAAAAGCAGGTTTTTGGATGCCCGATGTTTCCGATGTTTAAATTAGTTAATTAATTCAATTGTTTAAAGAAATATCGATTTCCCTCTTCAATTAGCTTTTAATTTGTTTAAAATTTAAATTATGGAAGACATTCATGTGTAAATATTCTACAGACATTCTAGCTGAATTTTTCACATATTCAGACAATGATAATATAATTGTTATCTCTAGTAATAAAGCTCTCCAGAAAATTTTTTGATGAAGGTTAAGTTAAATAAACATATGACCGGGTACCCGATTTATAAAATGATGCGGATACCCGGGTGATGAATTAGAAGACGGTTCGAATTAGTGCTCCGATGGGGTTGGGTCGAGTCGAGTTTCAGAGAAACCCGAACCCGACCCAACCCGATTATAGTTATACTCGGGACTACCCGAGTTTTACGGATAATGTTAATGTCGAGAAACGAAATTGTAAAGTATAAATTCATGCTAGTTAATACAATTCCAATTTAACTTCAAAACTTTGATTTTAACACATACATGCACGAACTGTATATGCTTAAAGCATCAATGTTTTGTTGCTGCAACTAGATAAGCTCCACCATAAAAAACTCGCACCAATTTTATGAAGCCAAGTTTTATTTCTAAACAATTTTATTTTTAAAACAAAAGTAAATAGAAATAACTAGTAGTACCAGCCGTTGGAGTCAGAGTCGACTCTGGAAAAATCAAGTCAAGTCAACTTCGGAATTTTCCATGACTGAGTCGCTGTTCAAAATTTGATATAAGGTCAGAATATTGTGAAATTTTTAATTAAATAAAGCTTCAAATTTTTAGTCAAATGGGATTCATGTCAACTTTATTTATGATGAAACTTATAATTATCTATTGTTTTGCAACATCAATTAAATTTTGAAAATTTTTGATAAATATTAAGATATTAATTATACAATTATGGTCGCTAATTTCAAATGAGAGTCTCGACTCAGTCGACGGCTGAGTTGACTTAAAAGTCTCTAACGGCTGACTGTGTCGACTCTAGAATTTGTCACGACTGGTACTACTAGAAATAACCAATTTTAAAAATACTTACGGGCAGTAAGACATTTTACTGTTCGATGAGTTTTAACATTTATTTATGTATTGTGTAGAATTATACGATCACCCGGGTCGTGACCTCGACCCGACGAGTTGCTTTAATTCGGGTCTCGGGTCTTAAAAATTACGACCCTTACCCGACTCGACAACTTAACCCGTGTCAATAACCCGGGTCGACCCGACCGGTTCGGAGCACAAGTTCCAATCTCTAAAGCAATGTAATAAGTTTATGAACCTGCTTATTTTAAAGATGCATAAATCCTTTCATTTGATAAATATTCAAATTTTAGAAAAAATAAAAAATTTTTTAAACGCTACATAATTTTAATGTATGGAGTTAAAAAAACTTCTAAAAAGTGTATTAAGTAATAACGTAATACAAATTCAAAGAAAATTTACAGAAATCTGAGAAAGAAATCTGAGAAATCTGTTACGAAATATTCTTAATAATTCCTCGTTAAAATGATAACAGTTGCTACTCGACCCGATGGCAAAGACCATATAATTGGAGATGCTTGGAAAAATACAGAGGGTATGATAAATGTTGAAGTTGAGGACACCTTAGACAGAAAGAAATGGAGGAAGCTCAAGCCAGGTAAATTAATTATTGATAATTCTATATTTAAAAGTTTATTTATTTATATTTAAATAATAAATAGAGTAAAAGTTCTAGAAAGAAATCGGAAACTGCGTAGTAATATCTCCAATTCTATCCTTCTCAAATTGGATTGGAAGAGAATGGTCATACCACTCCAGATGAAAAAGAAGAACAGCTTATAACAAATTTAACAAAATCAAAATTTCTATATGCTCTAAAATTATTTTTTGAAAACCTACAAAATAAATTTTCATCTCGAATTTTAGTGGATTCATTAAAAAGTTTAGCCAATCATTACAAGATTGGAATTACATTTACGTACTTTGGCAGCAGCTTTGGAACAGAATTGTTTTTTAGGAATAGTTCTTGGTGAAGAAATTCAAGACAAATTTACAATTCCTTAGCTATATTTGCAGATTTTCATGTTATTGAAGAAGGACTTGTCGGCCTTAAGTCAAAGTAAAATCCATCAAATCAACAAGATGACATCAATAACAAGAGTATTGAAAAGCATAACTACAATATTGACTTTTTATTGATACACTTGCGTGATACACTACACAGTCTGCGTGATGATGAAACTTGGTTTAAAGAAATATTAAGAAGGGCTAAAGATTTGCTGAAGACTATTCTAAACATTACACCAGGAATCACAAATATTGTAGCACCCGGGTCGCTCTTCCAAATGATAATTGTTCAATTTTATCAATGTTTACCCAAATACTTCAAGGTTTAAGTTTTAAATATCCAATAGCTTCTAATTATATTGGTTGGAGTGTTATTTTGATAATTCAATAATTCAACATAACTTTTTAATTGATCTGAAAATGATGAAAAGGTCATAAATAGTAAGTATTGAGAAAAGATTCTAATGGAATATCTTTGGAGTTATTCAGAAAGAGAGTGGAATAATTTTGTTGATAAAACTATGTTAGTTTTACAAACTTTATTTGATGATGTATCAAATAAACTCGACAAGGCTTTAAGAAACACAGGAGGTTTTTTAAACGACCTTGCTGGAAATGAACCACTCGCGTTACTGAATATGTTATGGTTTGGAATATTGGTTCTTGCACAAAGTCTCATCCAAAACTCTACTCAACCATATATATATATTGTCTTTGTTATTTTCTAGCATTCGAGTCACTCAACAAAGCTCCGAACAGTTTTATTTAATATAAAGCAATTGAGATATTACTACATTTATAACATGTCAATGAATCATTTCCAATAGTAGAACCTGATTTGAAGAATTACGTGAAAATAATTCAGCGGATTCTTCAAAAAAAGTTCAAAGATTATTTGAATTTGTTAAAGAAAAATGTCATGAAGACTTTACTTTCTTATACTAAAAGATAATGGTGAAAAGGAATAAGAAATGGTTTAGATAAGAATATTTATTTTGAACAAGAACAAACAGAACAAACAATAAATTCTCATGAAATATTAAACATTAAAGCAGATAAAATGACTTGTCCTATTAGTCTTGAGACAGTTTTATCTTTTATAATGTCAACATATGATTTCATTAAATAAGTACGCAAAAAAATGTGTCCTATCTGTCGAGAAAAGATTGAAAATAATGATGTCAAATATGTATCACAGAATACCATTTACAAAGTTCTATATCCGCGTTTATGTGATGCCAAACATACTAAATTTAGATCAAACAAATAAATAATATGAGGACGATTTCAAAGAAGGTTCTGATAATTCTGTTTATCAGAATGTTACAAATGAATTAGCAAATAAAAATTATGAAAAAGCTATATCAATCTGTTAAGAATATTTCCTAAAAATGATAAATTTTAGCTTATGCTTTAATAACTATAATCAAGCGCATTCATATTTCGATGAGGCTTTTAGGTTAAAAAAAAAAAAAAGCAACTCAATTGCATCTTTTATTCGTAGAGAAATATATTTTAGACAAGGTTTATATGATGATGTAATTAAGGTATGAAAAAAATCAAAAACCAAATAATAAGACAAATATAATTTTAGGTAATTGCTATTTTTTAGAAGAACAAAGATATTTTAACGGTAATTCTTATGATGATGCTATAAAAAGCTTTAAGTTTTATTACACATGTATTCTAATAATTATTTATGTTTGAGTTATTATGCATTCATTTATCAAATTCAATTAAGATATATAGAAGCATTAAAAAAGTTAGATAAAATACTGGAAATTAATCAAGATGATTCATTAATACGATGTTATTATGGAGAAATTCTTAATTATTTAGGAAGATAATGATTCAATATCTCATTTTACAAAATCATATAATATTGATCCTGAGAATACCCATATTTTATTTGCCAAAGCTATCACTCATTATGAACTTCAAGAATATGAAAACGCACTATTTGATTTTAATAAATTGATAAAATTAGGTTTTTCAAATAGTTATTCGTATTATTATAAAACTTACATTAAAGATAATTTGCCGAAAATTATTTTTAAATATTTTGATGAAGAAGAATTCAATAATGGAAACATTTTGGATGAAAATTTAATGCAGTATATTTAGGTACAAAATTATTATCTGAATATCCTAAAATAAGTGATAATGATTTTATTGAACCAGGAATAATTAAATTTTTTCATAAAATCATGTATATAGGTAAGAATAAGGCCTTTCACGGTATAAAATATCAAAATTAACGTTTTAATTTTACGAATTATAGAAAAAAGCATCTATTGTCTTTCAGATCTTACAAAAAATAGATTATGTTCGACTAATAAAAAATAAAGATAATAAAATCGATATTTTTAATATGGATAATTCCATGCATGCAAATCTATTAAAATCTACCCAAATATTCCAAAAGTATTAAAAGTTTTTAACGACAAATATTTCTCTAAAAATGAAATGGAAAATTTGATTGAATTAAAAGATATCATTATTTAAGCTTGTCTTTTCAAACTTATATAATTGAAATTTTGTATTTTTCGAAAAAAATATTATTGAACGAAAGCAAATAATTCGTGGTGAGAAAAATAATGGTTAAAAAATACGTTGATAACTATTAATTATCAGTTTTATTTTATTGATAAAAACTTTTGCTTGCTTTTATTTTATATCAAAAATATTAAAAAGTAACATGACAAAATTGAAGATTTTTCATAGAACTTATTCACCTTACTAATCTTACTAACGTTACTTCGAAAATAATTCACTCAAAAAAATAAAGATCAAAATAATGATGTGGTTAATTATTTTATCGATGATGTAAAGGATGTTTTATTATTTTATTATTTTTTGATGGGCGCGCAGGGATAATTCGTTTATAACTTGGAAAATTTAAGAAAATAATTGAATCGATAATCAAAAATATATAACTAAAAAAGATTTAAATATTCAAATAAAATAATAAAATTTATTTGTAATGGGAGATATGACATAACCCTGGAGAAATTTAAGGAAGTCCATGATATTTTGATCTCAGATGAATTTTTTTTTCGCATTTCAATTCCGGATCATCTAGGGTTTTAACCAAAAAAAATTGGTTTTGAATTCTGGATTAGCGTCTCATACTTACTGTATATCACCATATCGATCATTTTGCTAATCATATTTTGTATTGTCACATCGGTCTTTGCAAGTTCAATGCTTTTTGGGTTCCTCTATATATATTCAAATTTGTCATATTAACTATTATATCTAATAGTTTTTATTATCATAAGTTTTTTTAAATATTATATATGAAATTTTGAATATGAAATACAAAAGTATGTATTAAGCTGAAATTTTCAATAATTTAATCATAATGATCCTTATACTAATTAGACTTTGAAGCTTTAGAATAGGGATGTTAAACGGTCCTAAACGGTCCTAAAAGTCCAATAAATTGCCAGTTCAGAGAAGATTTTTATTTTACTGGCATTATATTTTACTTTCTAATGATAATTTGTTAATTGAATATAAATTAAAAAAATATATTAAACTTATGTAGAAATCCAGAATCTTAATTTTTGAAACTTAGGATCTAGTCCTAAAGACTAGGTCTTACCTTAGCAATCCCATGTTAATTGTCAATTCCAAAGTTCATATTTCTTTTATAAGTTATTTATAAAATTTATTATTACAATTATTTATCAAGGGTTACTTATTATAGATAAGCGATTAGATTTTCGATAACTCGTAATTTCAATATTTGTTTACAGTCATTTAGAATCATTTAACATCCCTAATAAATACTATATAATTATTCAAAAAATTGATATAAGGCTAACTTTTGTGTTATTTAAAATTTTATTATGAAATTTTTAAATTATATTCTTTATGACCTAAAATATTAAATATAATAATCAATATAGTTTGCACAAACATTATAGTATTGCCTCTAATCTTTGAAGTTTAAAATAATAAATTTATTATATAAATTATATAATTACTTATTTTAGCTCAAAGCTAACTAATGCATAATTTCAGTGTTGCCTGAAGTAGGATTCTGCAAAAATCAAATCAGATTCGATTTTGGTGATCAAATTTGTATTCAAATCAACTCAATTAATAGATTAAAAATATTATCTTATGATTTAGTAATCCAATTTTAATAAATATTTTTTTGTTTTGTAGCTCTTAACATCTTCATTCAAATAAAAAATGATCATTTAAATTGGATTGCTGATCATAAAATAATTGGATAAAATGATTTTATACTTTTGTTATACATATTTAACAATTAGAATTGAATCGATTTGAGCGGAATCCTAGCTTAAAGCTTTAAAGTCTAGATCAGCTAATTTTATATAATATAATAATTCAGTTATATATAATCAGCAAATGATCGATATAATGCTATAAGTATATTCACTATGCTGAAAGCCATTAAATATTAATAATATTAAGTATATTTAATTGTGAATTACTATTAGCTTCTTGAATTATCTTTAAATTTAGCATTCATTTATATAATCTACTAAAATAATTATATAAATATTTGCATATAATTTTATATCCTTTAAAATATGAAACCTTTTTAGCTACATCTTGTCTTACAAGATATAAATGATATACAATACAATGTATTAATGTTATAACAGGATTTAATTTTTTTTAATTGTGTAGCAATACCAATTTTTAAATCTAAGATATAATAAATTAGCATTTATAAATATCATATAAAATTATATATTAAATAATAAATATAAAATTATTTACCAGTCATTATTAATATACTATTACTACTAAAATAAGTAATATTTGCAATATGCAGATTTTTACTAAAGATAAAAAATTTTAAATACTTTATAATATTTTTCACCTTACAATCTTCTAATTTAATTAAATCTAAATAATGAATAATAGGTTTATTAAATGTCATATGTTATAAAGCAATAATTAGATATTTTTCATTTAAAGAATTCCTTTCCTTTATTATTAAACTCCAGTTTTTTGATAATTTAATTTCATTTATAAGATTTGTTTTAATTACATGTATAATTACTATTGCAAAATTTATAGTTACAGCAAAATTCAAATAAGTTCTATAATTGCTAGATTTTATAAATTCTTATATAGAAAATTAAGTGGTTAAGATTCTAAAGTGATAATATTACAGTTTGTAATTAAACTATATAAATCAAAATATATATTAAGTACAATGTACTTTTTTGCTGCAAAATAAACACATTTAATTTGCCATATAATTTTTAGGCATCATTATTTAATTGGCGAATCAAGAAATTTGCAAATTATTTCTTTGCTTTTTGATGTTTTTGATTCTTTTTTCATGTTTTTTAACAATATTCCTTTTAAAAATACTAGTTCCTTAAGTAAATATATTATTATAATTTGCTTGCTTACACTATTTGCAAAATATCAATATAGTTCTATTCATTTCAAGATATTCTAATCATTTCTATTCTTTTAATCAAGAAGAAGAAAGTTCAATTAAAATTTGAGATTTTTTTTTGATTTTTGTGGTTGAATTTCTAATTCTTTAATAGCTTTATATTTATTTTTATTTTTTATGTTTGTATTTTAATTATTTTAATTAAAAATTATAATATTTTGTTAATATTATTTTTTTTATAAAAAAATGTGTAATTGTTATAAAGTTTTAATTAAATAAGTATATCTTATTTGAAAAATATTCTTTTATGATTAATTAAAAAATGCTATTTTCTAACTATAGGTTTTCTCATCAATATGAGTGATACTTATATCAGCTTAAAAAGGTTTTATGAAAGTTCCTAAAATAAAATTCAACCAAAAATTACGTATAAAATATATTGATTAGAAGTATAAAATCTATGTAAAATTACATATATAATATATTAATTAAACATATAAATTCTGTATTTTTTTGCATATGAAAAAAAATGATTTTCGGTATCTAGTATACAGAACTATTTACAAATATATTATACTGTTTTCTACATATATTATATAATATTTTAAACATATTATTTTCATATACTTTTTTTATACAGATTATTTATAGGGTAGAAGATTTATTAAAGATTTCTCAAACTTAGTTGCAAATTTACATTTATTATTATGAAAAGATATACTATATATTTAGACTGAACTACAATAAAAAACCTTTGAACATATTTAACTACTACACCTGTTAAAGATGAGGGACGAAACTCAAAAAAGGCAATTAATAAACAGCCAAAATTATATTAAAACATAGTGAGGAGTACGATGAAATCCCGAAACCTAAATTAGCTAAAACTATATTAAAAACATAGTAAGGGATAAAAAAAAATTATTTTAAGGGAGTTTCAGCTGGCATCTTTAATACCTGTTCTTATTTATTCTGATTTTAAATAAAAGTTTTTATTCTTTACTGATTGATTATATATAGAACTTGAAGTAATATTAGCATAATTGGATGATAATAATAAGAAATGTATTATAGCTTATGCTAATCAAAGTATAAGTAATATCAAATAAAAATATAATTTAATAGAATTAAAATATCTTATCACTGTATGGAGAATAGAACATTTCTGATATTATTTGCTATACTGATAATTTGAGTTAATCATTGACCATACAGCCTTATAATAACTCTTTAATAAACTAAATCCTCTCGTAAATTTATGAAATAGATCATTTATATAATGATAATAGAATTCCTTATCAGATTTAATACAAAAAAGGAAAATTATATTTAATGCTAATGCATTGTCTCAATTTCCTTTAAAATAGTATAATTAATCTATCAAAAACTTAGATCTCAAGCGAAAATATTAGTAACATGATTAGCAGCTTAACAATATGGATTTTGAACTTTATCATCAAATTTTTCAATATCTTACTCAATTCACTTACTATTCAAACATTATCTCTTTACAATAACTTGCAATTTAAAAACAAACTCAACATTATTTTGTATAAAATCAACAATTATATAAGTATAATCGAAAGCAATTTTCAGCTTTTATATATAATAAAAACAAATAAAATCAAAAATATTCTATATAATAATTATAATGAATCTTTAGAAAGACATTTAAGATAAGATATTACATATAATAAGATTACCTTTCAATATTAATATGGCCAAGTAT